CAAGAGAGTAAAACAAAAGCCCATGAGTTTGGGAACAAGTCTTTAGCAATGATACAACAGGCAAGGGACTAATCACTAAAATCTATAGAACTCTGTAACAGCGAGAACAAGCGCTGCAGAGGGTGCAGCAAAATTGGAACTCATACGCTGCTGGTGGCTTGTAAAGATACGCAACCACTGTGGAAATTGGTGTGGTGCTACAACTGGGAATAGACATACCACGTGACCCAGCAGTAACTTTGCTGGGCAGACATACACCCCAAAGAAATGAGACGGAACATGAACAGATATATACTCTCCCATGTTCATTGTGGCACAGTTCACAATAGCAAGAAGCTGGAAACTGCCCAAAGTCCATCAGTAAAAGAATGGATAAAGGAACGCATACATACACACAGTGGAATACTATGCATCCCTAAAAAATGAAACCATGAAACACCTCATGACATGGAGGGACCTGGAAACTATTTTGCTGAGTGACGTTAGTCAACCACAAAAGGAGAAACCTTGTCTGAGTCCATTTCTAGAAGGACCAAAACCAAGTCTTCTGCTCTCAGGTCATGGAATCTCTCTGGTTGCCAATGAAGCAGAGAGCCTGCCTACTGCCCACGAGCCATAGACCACTCCTTTTATATGTGCATCCTAAAGACACGTCGACAGAGGAGACCTTACCGCAGCTGGGATCAGTTTCACAGACCATTCAGTTGCTGTTAGCACAACATTGTGCTAAGGTCACCCCAGATCAACAGACCCTCCAACAAGAGTGATACTCAAAAGTCAAGATATGGGGAGAGGGCCATGCATGTCTCTGAGAAACCACTTACACTTCTATTGGTGGGCACACCAGTTGGATCAACCTCCCATTGACAAAAAAACACTTAATATATAAAAAACAAAAAAAACGCTTAATAATATTTATATGAAAGCCAAGGGGAGAATGTGTCTGGTATTGGACTCTTTTCATCTAGTTTCTGTCCAGCTGTTGGTGACGCAGGCAGTGTGCTATGGACTGCTGGGAATTTGGATGCTCTCTTCTCATGGTGCACAATATCCTTCAAAGACCACACCAGGATTCCATGTGGAACCCTATTGAGCAAACAGGGCTTTATAGTGAACTCACCCGTAGCAGCTTTAAGGTACCGACATACTCCCTTGAACGGAAACATCCTAGTGTGAGAAGCAGATGGCTGCTGGCCCAATGGTGGTCACTGGCCTTTGGTTCGAATCCTTTGCTTGGAGGATGCCCAATGAAGGGTGACCTGGGACTACCCTATATTTACTATTTTAACGCTCTCCTTGCTTTCTTGTGACATGTATAAGTCTGCCTTTGTGAATGAGTGCTACCGAAAGTTTTGTTCTATCACCAGCTCCCACTGTTCATGTAAACAGTGTAGTCACTTAAGCATTTAACCCGTACAATAATTCATGTATTGTGGTCTGAAAAGCCAGCCTATACATGTATAACTTCCGTTTCTCAACGGTGTTTCAAAGTCATAATTGGTTAATGACACTATTAATTGTTATCTTATACTCTAGGATGATTCATAATGTTCTCTATCATAAGATGATAATGATGTCGCTAAAGTGAACCATTTATATATACCACAGACTAGATATGAATACATTCGGGGCACTTAATTCTAGTCTCGACCTACAAACATTTAGTTCTCATGATGTGGCCCTACCCAATACCCACCCTCATGAAGCGGTCGCTGATATGTGTGCTGTAGCCGTGCGGTGAAGAAACCAGAGTGGCTTGGCTGTCAGAATAGTGTCTGCGGTCTTAAAAGCTGTTTTCAAACAAGCAGCCACCTGAGTGAGATGTCAACTAAGTCCACATGGAAGAACCACACCACCAGCTTATGTGATCCAAGGACTGTAAATAATCAAATCCAAATAGAAAAGGAGTGGAACAGGGCTTACACCTGGTTTTCAGAAGGCTGTGGATGCCAGGGGAAGTCCAAAATCCATTTGGAGGGTCCCCACCTGGATTAAGCCTCTGGTGAATTTCCTGTGACCACAGTCAAGGGATGTCAGTAGCTTTGCTCTGGGAGAGCATTGTGAAGTTGATTGTGGCCGATGTCGTTAGGTTAACATGTAACACCTTGTCATTTGATCTTCTTTAGGACCCATTTTAAAGTTATTTCAGTTGTTACTATTTTCGGCTTTTTGAATGAGTTTGTTTCGTCTTTAGGTTTTTGTTTGCTTCGTTTTGTATGATTTTCTGCATATGAAATCCAGGACAGGTCAAACTATAGACAGTAACTGGATTAATAATTAACTAGGGGCACAACAGGAGAGGTTGGGGATGGGTGGGACTAGGGAGCTAACAACATTGAGTATGAGAAGAAAACACCCTGAATTTGTGGTGATGACTGCACAACTCTTAATGATTGAATGGCTAAATTGTCTGATAGGCGAATTATACTTTTAAAAGATACAGTCAGCCATCACTTCCTGCATAAAATGTAAAAATAAACGTGTTTTTCTTTTGTAAGATCATCTGAAGGAGCCCTAGTGGTGTAGTGGGTTGTGATGGGTTATGCAGGGATAGTAGTTTGAACCCATCAGCTGCTCCTGAGGAGAAAGATGGGCTGTCTGCGCCCTTAAAGACTTCCAGCTTCAGACATGGTAGGGAGCAGTTCTACTCTGTCCTACAGAATTGCTGAATCAGGACCAAATTGCTGGCAGTGGGTTTAATTTTTGGTAGGATCATTTGGCTAAATCACTGCTGTAAATATCACTTTCAACTTCTGATTCCCTACTGGCCTTTTACTGTGTGCAATATTGCTTTATATTATTTTGTATATTGACTTTAGATATATTGTGGGCAAAGTTACATTTTGAAACACACATTTTCTTCCTGGTTTAACTTCCATTGTAAAAGCAAGCATAATATAGAATAAAACAGCAAAATGGGAATTATCTTTGTGCCTGGATCTTTTTAATGACTAAAGAATATCTATATATCGAGGTCTATAGATATATAAAGAGATATAATTAATACATCACACAATAGCTCAATCATATTACAATGGGTTGTGCATAGAGGTTATTTTAAAGATAACAAATGAATGACTATAATATTGACAACACAAAAATAGTAAATGATTCTCAAATTTCAATGCTATCAATAGAAGTTAGCAATTTCTCTTATTGTTGGTGGACAAAAGAAAAAAAGTAGAACTACAATCTTTTCATAGCAGTAAACCCTTTGGAGCACCGGCACAAAAGCATGGGATATGGAATAAGCTGCAAAAGACCCAAACTCAAACATAAAATCCACAACAAAAGGCAAGTGGCAGAACATTCATTGCACATAAAAAAAAAAAAACCCCAACTTCAAAATTACATGTCTGAAAAATGATCAATTTTGACATGCGTTAGTGAAAAAACCATTCCAGTATTATCAAAAATGTTCCTGCACACTTACTTCCACTTACCAGATAGAACATGGCATCTCAAATAATGTTCAAAATATTTTTTAGTTTTGTAATATATCATAAATTATATTTTATAATATAATCCTGTCTATGGATAATCATTTACCAGTTAATGGCACACACCCAGAAGATGTTGGTAATGGTATTTTATAGTGATAAACTTAGAATGCTTAATTCACCATTAAAAATTTACCATGGCTGACATTGTATCTGACTAGTATTTGTTGGCTCCTTTTGTAAATTTCCTAAATTAAAAAAATGTTTTGGTATATTAAAAGAGCCTGTGATAAGTAGGTTTATTGTACCAACCTGGCCAATAGGAACATGTGGGATTAATCAGGTCACAGTTTGATTGGAGGGCAAAGAGATAAATGGCTTGGCAAGGCCCACCCCTTGCTCTCTTGTTCTCTGGTGAACGGACCAGTGTGTGGCTGCTGAGCTACTGTAGCTAGTTTTCTGCCTCAACTTGTGAGCCACACTACTTGTGGGATAGCCAACCTGTGTAACCTGTTGCTAGAGCTTGAGGTTCCTTCAAGACCTGCTTCACCACGCTGCTGGTGTGTACATCGCTTGAGCTTGAGGCTGGTGGATCCTGTCGTCTTGCACTGCTTGAGTTCAACATCCCATCTGGGCCTGCTTCACTGAGCTCCCGAGCTGCTGACTGTTGGGTGACCAGCCCTGCTGTTTGCTGCCTGTGGGCAGACTCTGACTGCATCGCACAAGGGAAGACTCAGCTGTCTGCTTCTTTGACCTTGGACCCAGAAGCCATCAGGAGTTGTTGAAGGACTTCCAGTATATAACTGTTCCACGGAAGTGAGTTGAACTGAGACTTCCATACTGCGGTGTGGACTAATTAGCTGTTATATTCCTTCATGCTGTATAAATCTATCTATCTATCTAAAATCATAAGTGTCCTGGTTTAATTTCTCTAGAGCAGTGGTTCTCAACCTGTGGGTTGCGACCCCTTTGGGTGTTGAACGACCTTTTCACAGGGGTCACCTGATTCATAACAGTAGCAAAATGAAAGTTATGAAGTACCAACGAAAATAATTTTATGGTTGGGGGTGTCACCACAACATGAGGAACTGTATGAAAGGGTCGTGGCATTAGGAAGGTTGAGAACCTCTGCTCTAGAGAACCCTAACACAGAGCCCTAGCAGGGTAAGCGTTGGCTGCTAACTGCAAGGTTGGAGGTTCAACCAGTCACTTTTAGGGAGACATATGAGGCTGTCTGCTCCCCCAAAGTTTTACAGAGTCTGGGAAATCATCTAAAAGGTTGTTGTGAGTTGGAATTGACTCGATGGCAGAGAGTTTGGTTTTGGATATACAAGGGAACTTCAAAGTCCCTTTGGGAAAAATGAAATGAAGACACAATGGGAATTTTCCATGAGCTTTTTGAAACCTACGCATAGTAATGCACTTTAACTGCTGCTGTGTCTGAGTAATTAATACCTCCAAATAAAGTTCATAATTTTCTGTATGGGTTTGGAAAGCACTACACTGTACCACTTGCAATAAAATTAGAGCTATATACATATATAACATGAAGAACTGTCATTTACACCAATGAATTAATTTTAATCATGAAATTATTCAAGTCTTCCAAAGGCATAAATATTTAGAAAATATTAGCATGCTTTGAGAGAACAGATAAACTTTAAATCTGGAAAAGATTTTGCCTGTGACGTTACAAAGTCCAACTTGGAAAATTTTGTAATTTACATGTATACCTATATATTTCCTGTTAATACTCTATACTTTTCTCCATCACATAATTTATTTTTATAATAATTACTTTTATTAAATTCATTGTATCAATTTCAAATGATGACAGATGTAGTTGGTCATTAATCTTATTTCAAATTTTATTAGCTATACAGATTTTGAGATCTGAGAAACATCAAAAGTCTTTAAAATTTGTTCTTAAAAATATACAATATTGCACTTCCATTTTTGGCAGTTTAAGCAGTGGCTGAAGAAGAAATTATACAAGGAGTTAGTTTTTATTTTGCTCTATAATAAGCAAAGAACTGTGTGTAAAGTAGAATTTGCACAACGAATTTACAGTAGTGCCAAATAAACTAAATACTTACAGTGTAAATATTAAGGTCTTATCTCTGAAGAGATTCAGTGTATTGGATGTAAAGAGCATTTACTTAAAAAATGTACTCCATCCCTCCTCCCATTCTGCTGAACCTTTTTAAGCCCAAGGGGATTGGCGTCATATATTTTGTGATTTCTCTCGTAAGACAGATACATTGAAGGGATGTTCATTCCTGGAGCACCGAAACTGGAACACGACATGCTTTCACTTAGAATGTTTCCTAAGCAACCCGAACAACCTCCACACCACACTCAGCTTAAGCAGAACTCCAAGTTAAGCCTTTTCAAAAAGTTTTTCTGTAATTATCCTCTTTTACAAGTGTACAAGTTAGTTGCTGTGTAATAACTTTAAGGTCAGTTCCTTTTACTTTTTCTGAAAGACTTAAGATCCTAAGTATGCATTTGCTTAATTATTTTTAACTTTTGGTATATCATAATGATACAATGTATGTTTATACGGACCCAGAATTTGAAACTCACCTTTTTAATTCTCAATAAGGTAAATATTCTAAAAAACTCTATTTTTTTCCCCACTTATTAACCAATCAGGAAGACAAATAATTATTTGCAAAAGCAAATGCCAAGATTTAGACCTACTTTACAGTGTATTAAACATTAATAAGACCAAAAACTAACAATGTGAAAATAAATAGAATATACCTGTAATATAAATACATGACACAGAAACATTCACCTTTGGCACCACCTAAAAAAGTTTCCAACAGTACTCATTATTCTTAATATCTCTGGGAATATATTTAAAGTTTCAACGATTAGGTTTCTCCTTTTCTTCCAGAGGGAAAATCTTTGCCCACAAACTTGAATTGGTATTTCAAAAGCCAAGAATTTCCGTTTGTTTATCCTAAAACAATCTACAAAATAAATGGTATTCCAATATGCTAATTATTCTTTATATTTTAATCCTACAGTGACTTGATGATTTCGAACAGTGATTAAATGTAAAGGATATTGTTTCTTCTAAACAATCATGTACCAATTGCATAGCTCTGATTTGAAAATAAAAGTCGTAGTAGAGTTACAACGATAGTAATACATATATTAGTTGAACTGAAATAGGTTATTGAAAATCAGTCTATTTTGGGCAGATGTTAGTGTAAACTTAGAGGGGAAAAACAGTCAATAGCAAAAGAGTCTTTCAAAAAATAGGTTAATGCTAAGAGAATAATAGCTTTTAAAATTTCCTTTAAAAAATAAGCTTAATAAACAAGAATACAAATTTTAATCCAAAATTTCGTTCTGTGAAATGCCCTAGTTTCCTGCACACAGCAGAAGATACAGATTTCATTGTTTTCAACATTACAAGTAAAAATGAGGCACTAGTTAGACATTGCTTTTATATATTCACACAAGAAGGAATTTCAGAGTCCCATCCATAGGCTTATGTTTGTTCGATGTTTTCCAAATGGCAATTGTTCACAAAAACAAGTCTTCTGAAGGAGGCGCGTAAGAGAAGCCGATGAACGCGTCGTCGGCCTCCAGCACACTGGCGTTCACTACAGAGTACTCAGAAGACAGGCACACAGAGCATGGGACGGTTTCTTCTGTAAATGCTGCGTCAAAGTTTCGGATATCATCTGGTCCGGCCTGAAACAGCAAAAGCATACATTATTTCCACTTTTGTTATGAATTGGATTGTGTTCCCCTCTTAGATGCAGGTCAACATGGCTAGGCCGTGATTCCAATAGTATGTATATATATTCTCCAGTTTTAGATTTTATATCATAATCGCATGTATTGTAAATCCTAACCTTTTATGATGTTAATAAGGCAGGAAGAAGAGGCAGTTATGTTAATGAGATAAACCAAAAAACCCAAACTCACTGCCATCCAGGCAATGCTGCCTCATAGTGACCATTTGTGGGTTTCCAAGACTGTTTACTGGAGTAGAAAGCCCAGGAGCTGATGGTGGTTTCGAACTGCAGAATATGAGGATGGCAGCCCAATGTGTAACCACTATACCACTAGGGCTATCATCTACAAAAGTAGATTGTACCTTAAATTGATCTCTTGTGAGATAAGAAAGATATTAAGCAAGTGAGCAGAGATCAGAGGGACCTCTTATCAACAAGAAAGAAAAGCGGGGCAGAGCTCATCTATGTACCCTGAACCTCCTAAACCAGGGTACGATTGATGCCGACGAGATCTCCACAGATGTTCAAAGGAAACTAGGATCTTCCCTCCAGAGCTGATAGAGAGAGAAAGCCTAGAACCCAGACTCTGAGCCTCCTAACCTGTGAGAGAATAAATTTCTGCTCTTCAAAGCCACCCACTAGCTGGTATTTCTCTGTATTAATAGTGCTACATAACCCACTGCGGACAAGTTGATTCTGATTCCTAAGACCCTATGGGATAAAGGATATCTGTTCCCAGGGTTTCCAAGGCTGTAAATCTTTACAGAAGTAGATTGTTACGTTTGTCAGCTGCAGAGCAGCTGATGGGTTTGAACAGTTGACCTTCTGGTCAGCAGCCAAGTGCTTTAATTCTTGCACTACATAGGGTTCCTTAGCACTAGAAAACTGAGACAGAATTTGGTTCTAGGGCTGGGGAGTTTCTGGGTGCTTGTTGGCAGAGCTGGGCTTGCTGACACATAGAACAGGGTAGCTCTGGGCCCTATCAACAGAGCTAAAGATCTTTCCAGCAATTGTTTGAGCACAAAGAACCTGGGCCAGCTTAAGAGGCCCGAGTGGCTGAGAGATTAAGGAACCAAGAAGCAGAAGCTGAAAAGACAAGGAGCTCAAGAAACAGTGGCTTTGGACCATCGTGGTGTAGTGGTTACGAGTTGGGCTGCGATCCACTAGGTCAGCAGTGCAAAACCACCAATCACTCCTTGGGAGAAAGACAGGGCTTTCTACTCCCACCAACAGCTAAACAGTCCCGGAAACTCACAGGGGCAGTCCTACCCTGTTCTGTAGGGTCTCTCTGAGTTAGTACTGACTCGATGGCACTAAGTTTGTAATTTTTTTTGGTTTTGGTCACAAAGGCTGAAAGCATGGCCTCTGGGATTTCAAGGGATAAGGTCACAGTCCACTAGGTTTCAGAGTCAGAGCGTCACCAGTTATATGTTACATTACTGAAAGAAAAATCATTTTATTGGGGCTCTTACAGATCATAATATTTCATACATCAATTGTATCAAGCATATTTGTACATATGTTGCCATTATCATTTCCAAAACATTTTCTTTCTACTTGAGCCCCTGGTATAGGCTCCTCTTTTTCCCCTCCCTCCCCCTACTTATTTTCAAAATGATTGGATAGATACATACCACATTAGGATTAAATGGTGGTGGGATTTTCTTTTGTACAAGGTCAGTCCAGCTGAGTGATTCAAAAAATGGATGGTTCTGAATTTCAAGCTAGAATAGTAAAGAAATATTTTTTACTGGTTCTGAAGAAAATGTGAGATACCAAACCACAACCCTTTTGGCTCTTGGATACACATTAATGCTATTCCTATGGTCAAGCAGTGTAGTACAAAGACCCACAGGCTAGATGTCAAAGATGGCTACATAGAACCGACTACCCAAGTTATCCTTTTCCCTGTCACAGCTTCCTCATGGGGAACATGGAATTGGCATTTCTGCATTGGATGCCTCACAAGCTTGCTTTGAGGGTGAACTGATAATATAGAAATAACAGTGCTACAAAAAGCACAATATATATACTCAGAAGTATTAGTGATGCCCAAGTAGGTGATTTAAAGAAGTCAGGGCACGTGCGTAAAACCAGTGTGATCATTACTACGACCAAGAAAACTCCCCGCTCCAGTTGGAACTTTCAGGGTTGGCAGCTTCCAGTCTTGTTTCCCAGTAAGGTGCCATGAGAGTGGAAAACTCGGATCCTCCTCAGTTTGTGGGTTAACCAACACTTCATAGGGAAAGTGATGTCTGATCAGAGATCTAAGGAGGACTAAGAATTAGTTGCAAAGATGTGAATGGAGAACATTTCAGGTGGAATAGGAAGTCCTGAGGTGGCAAAGAGGTTAGATTGGTCACTGAACGAGAACCCAAGATGGTTGCAGAATAAGGAAGGCTCAAGACTGCCAAACAGGTGAATTTAAAGATGTAGACAGGGGCCGTGCTATATGGAGACCACATTCACTTTGCCAAAGGGCAGAGTGTGGAGAGTTGGGAAACCAGCAAGGAGGAAACAGGAAAGACAAAGAGGAAGTATGACAACTAATGATGCATCGTGGTGATACCTGGAGGGTGGAGGGAGGCTGGGGTAGAAAGGGGGAACTGATCACAGGATCTACATATAACCCCCTCCCTCGGGGAGAAGGGAGAAGTCAAACAGTGTAAGACATGACAAAATAATAATGTATAAATTATCAAGGGTTGGTGAGGGAGGGGTAGGCAGGGAGGGAAGGGTAAAATGAGGAGCTGATACCAAGGGCTCAAGTAGAAAGCAAATGTTTTGAGGATGATGAGGACAAATGTACAAATGTGCCTGACACAATGGATATATGTATGGATTGTGATAAGAGTTGTACGAGCCCCCAACAAAAGGATTGAAAAACAAACAAACAAAACTAATGATATATCAAAGGGACTGCAATAGACACAAAGTGTGTAAGAATTGTTGAACATAAAACTGATGATCTACTCTGTAAACCTTCACACAATGCACAATTTTTCATTTGGATTTCATTCTAGGGTTATGAGAAACTATCAAGAAACTATAGGTAGGGAGATGCCACAGTTATATTATTATAACTTAAAATATTTTGATTGTAACACTGAAGTGGATTGGAGAGTCAGGGCCGGAGAAAGGAAAAACAACTCCTATTGTGCTCATGTAAACATGATAGAGGCTAGGAAACAGTAGGGACAGTGTGGTTCGAGAGAAGTTCTGGGTGAATATAAAAGGGAGGGAGGGGAAAAATGAGGACCTAATGCCGGGGGCTTAAGTGGAGAGGAAATGTTTTGAGAATAATGAGGGCAATGAATGTACAAATGCGCTTTACACAATTGATGTGTGTATGGATTGTGATAAGAGTTGTATGAGCCCCTAATAAAATGACTAAAATAAAAAAATAAAAAATAAATAAAATTAATTAAAAAATAAAATAAAATAAAAGATGAGAATAAAGAATGACTCTCAGGTCCCGGATGTGAACAACCAGATGGACAGTGATGCCAATTAATTAGAAAGGGACTCCCAGAAGACGTTTGTAGGAATTCAGTTTTACAACTGCTAAGTTTTAATTACTCTCAAGAAAACCAAGTGGTGATGCTGAAGAGAGAGGCTATGTCCGTCTAGATCACAACCACAACAATTCAGATTCAGAAGAAAGGTCTAGACAGAAACACGTTGGATGACAGTGTGTTCCTAATGAAAGCCATGGTACTACTTGAGACTGTCCAGGAAGAGATCATAGCGGAAGAAAGGAGGATCTTAGGGAAACCCCAGGAAACTCAAAACGTAATGGTCAATTTAAAGGAGAAGCGCCTTCCTTAGTTGGTAGGCTACTGGAGGAGGCCTTGGAATCCAGACAGCACAGTGTGAGAGGAGTGTGTGCTCTGCTAAACCCGACGGAAGCAGGAGAGAACTACACGCTGACATGCTGTTGAGAGCTCCAGCCAAGGAAGAGACGAGTCTCTCCAAACTCACTGCCATCGAGGAGATTCTGATTCACAGCAACCTTAAAGGGCAGGGTGGAACTCTCGATGGGAGTAGAAGGCCTCAGCTTTCCCCTGACGAGCAGCTGGTAGTTTTGAACTGCTGTCCTAGTTAGTAGCCCAGCATGGAACCCAGAACTACCAGGACTCCCAGGAACAATAGTACCCCAAAATTCTAGAAACTATTCTGTGGTAGAGCAGAGATTAAGTTTGGCTATGAAGGGAAGATGCTATAAGTAGTACCTTACAAGGCAGTGGGGTTGAAGGTTTTTGATTTGCTCTAAGATGAAGGTGTTATGATTTAATTATTATTTGGAAAGAACCAGAACAAAAGGGGACAGTTGTTTGTGCAGAAAAAAAGTATTCATAATAGAGTTCCTTGCAAAGGGGTGGGATTTAGGACTCAGCTAGAAGAAGCTGATCTCCACTAGAAGAGGTGTAGGTGGTAACGATGTAAATATGATAGCAAGAAGCCAAGCGAGCTCCCTTTAATGGTTCTGTTTTCCTTATAAAACGTCCTGAATGTGAGGAAGCAAAGGAGTCAGAAAGTTGAGAGCACACTGGAAACAGCGCCTGCAGAGAGCAGGAGAGAGCTGAGTAGAGCACTGGGCCGGGTGGCATGGGGGCGTCTGTTATTTGCGATGTTACCTATGATTTGTCCCACCAGAAGAGCTTGTGGCTGTTGGATGCCATCAAGTTGATGCTGACCCAGAGTGACTCTGTGCACAAGCAAACCAAACACTGCTTGGCTCTGCACCATCCCCACACAGGCTGTTGGTGCCCACTGTTGTAGCCATTGTGTCTCCTCGAGGGTCTCTTCCTCTTTTTCAATGGACCATACATGGTGTCCTCCAGGGATGGGCTCCTCCTAACATGTCCAAAATATGTAAAATGAGGTATTGATATTGTTTCCAAGGAGCATTCTGGCTGTACTTCCTCCATTCTTCTAGCGGTCCGTGGTACGTGCAATCTGATACATCATCACCATCATGCATGGCATAGTCTTCTTCAGTCATCCTCCTCCAGGGGCCGCTCTCTCATTCACATGAGGGGGTTGGAAAATATCATGATGCAGGTCAGGCACACCTTAGTCCTTAAGTTGACAGCTTTGTTCTTCAACACTTGAAAGAAGTCTTTAGCAAAAGATCTGCCCAGTGCACTACGTCATTTGGTTTCCTGACAGCTGCTTCATGAATCCATGTCAAATGAAGGCTCTGACGCTTCAAAAGTCCCATTTGTCATGCTGTTGTTTACTGATACAGTTGTGAGGATTTTTTGTTTTCTTGTTGAGGTCTAATCCACACCGAAAGCCATAGTCTTTGACTTCAATACGTGTTTCAAGTCCTCTTTCAGCAAGCAATGTTGTGTCATCTGCATACTCTAGATTATTAATGAGCCTTCCTCCAATGCTGATGCTGCATTCTTTTTCATATAATCCAGCTTCTTGGATTCTTTGCTCAGCATAGAGATTATATGCTCAGAATACAACATATGTGGTGAAAGGATACAACTCTGAGGCATACCTTTCCTGGTTTTAAACAGGTTGTATATGAGCACAGCTAAACACATCTGTTCCACAGAAGTGCACAGCACTGGAGACTTTCACATAGGGTTGTCACTGTCAGACAGGGTTGCTAGGAATCAGAATCGACTTGAGGTCAATGGGTTTGGTGTTTTGCTCGGTTTTATTATAGGGTCATTATTAGTCAAAGTCAAGTGGGGAGCAGGGGGTTAGGGTTCAACAGACCAGAAGGTGGAAAGATGGTTGGATTCACCCAGGGTTGTGACTTCTGCCACTGAACTCAACAAAAGGTCCGTAGTGTCTAAAAGTCAAGGACAGTAGCAAGAACGACGGAAACTGTGGACAGAAACGATGGGATCTGAGCTTGAGAACACAAACTGTTGGCAGAGTTGGCAGAGCAGCCGGGGGGCAGGGGTTGGCAAATACTGGGGGCAGGAGGCAGTATTGTTAGAAAACCTCACTTGTCACAGATCAAGTTCATGACTGATAAACAGCCTCCAAGAAGTTCTGAGAGGGAAAAGGAAGAGTTCTTGTACCTCACTTGTTTGTGGCTTTACTGGCAGCTAACACAACACCAGTAACCAGCAAGTTGATTACTGTGATTCACAAAAACCAACCTGCAGATTCCATACCTCAAGGAGGTGTCACCAAGTTCCCCTAAAGCAGTAAGTAATACAGCTCAGACAGCAAAAGGAACTTGATATAATTCTTGCTAAACAAATGATTTTAAATTTTAGGCAGTTAGAAAAAACCCATACGCTATCCAACATTTTTTCGAAAGTGGATAGAAGAGGAAATTATTACAAATGAAATCAACTTTTTATGAAAATCAAATAAAAAGTGCATTTGGAAGTATTCTGAACGCTGCTCAGTTCTACGTAAATGTTGGTGACAACTGCTGAGACACGCCTGCTTCCTTTCCTGGTGCTAGTCTTTCATGATTACAGTTATGACATTAAATACCACGTAAAATAAGGATCCATTTCCCAACTTTAGATAAACTTCGGATGAAGCCAGCAGTGGGACAGATGTTACGTACAAAGTCTTCTTTGGCACCAAGTCGGTTTTGCCTGTCTTTTTCTAGGAGTTCTTCCAGAATGGACCAGGCTGTGAGGCTCACTCCGGGCCTCAAATTTAGGGGCTTGTGTAGAATATTGTCATACATTTCAGCAACATCTCGGCAATAAAAGGGAGGCTGGAAAAAAATCAAAAGACATTATGTGGTAAACAACTATGCCAAGACTGGGGTTAAAATAGGAGGGTCCGGCCTTCACCTGCATGGGGGGGTCTGGAAGGTGCACAGGCTTCGGGGACATTTGTAGTGTGGTCTCCCGATGCCCTGAGATGCCAAGGCCTGGCAAACCACAGAATCAGGGCCAGCTCATTTGCTCATTCGCACCTTACGGGCCAGTGTTAAACTGTCTGACTTCTAACAACTGGTTTAGAGGAAACAACAACTAACCTCCTCATCGGCACAGTTGGCAGAATGAGTGGGAATAGAGATTCCAAATGTACCTTCTTGAAGATTTTGGAATAAACTAATGAAAACGTGAGATGGAGGCATTGAGGCAGCAATCCTTCTTAAGCACTGTGACAATGACAACATTGTGGGTATTCTTAGTGCTGAGGAGACAGCGCCAACATATAAATTTGCCAGGTAGCCATCCAGCTTCTGTTTTTCAGAGGAGGAAGAAAACCTTTTACTTTTTAGCTAAAACCCCCCAAAACTATTTTAAGTAGATAATTAAAAATTAAGCTTCATTAGTGAGGCACATGTTTCATATATTTGCTTTTGGATTAATGGCATTTTATATATAGCTTTGGTATCTTATAATTCCCAAGTCTTCAAAAGAAACTCAAAGAATGTTGACGTAAGTCAAGAAGGTAAATAAGTAGCCCTGGAGAAGACATCAAGTCCTTATGTGTTTTAACATTCATAAAACTAGATTATTTAACAAGGAGGTCATAGTCAATGACAAAGAGATGCTGCTGCCTTTCTTAATAACCTATTATCACTATTAGCAACAGGGAAAAATGCTCTATAATGTATGTCATGCGCAGAATTTAATTGAGAGCTCCAGTTTTCGGGAAAAACGACAGAAACACACAAACCCAGAGGGTCTCAGTGACTTCAGGACTTGGCTTGTGCAGTGGCAGCTTCAGTGCTGGTTCTCAGCGTGATGTTACTGGAGAATAAGGGATCAGGAAGGGGGCCTAGAATCTCTGCTGAATATTTCAAAAAGTGTAAAGAAGAACAAACGTTTACTTCCAATAAACATGTGTTGGCTATCTAAACTCCTGAGAGTGTCTGGTTTGGGTTGGAAGGTTAACTCGGTGCTGGTAAACAACTCAACTCAAGTTAATCAGAAATCATGCTGCCTTTCTGTGCCTTTAATAAAAACTGGGGAAATTAATTAGATAGTAAGCACCACTTTGTTCCCCTGTGAAATCCTCAAGACAAACGTTTGTGAGAAAGTAAATGAACAATCCCCAGTGGGGAAAAAGCTGAGAATCCGTTTATCAGTTAAATCCTACAACAACACAAACTACAATTGATAATGTGTTAAATAATAAACTGACGTGATGAAGGGAAATTATTTGGTATGGCTCTTTTACCCACGCCTGTGTAACTTCCACCAAATGTCTGGGTGGGGTCATGCAAATAGAGTGTAACACTAATCGAGGAGACAGGTCCGTTTTGCCATTCCTTTGAGTATAAGAGCGCCCTCTCAGACGCAGGAGTAGGGAGAATCCTGTGATCATTAGGAAAGAAGAGCCAGGATCAGGTAGCACGTGGGTTCCCTGTCTGAGATGGCAGAGGCAACAGAGGTGCTAGAGACCACAGCACTGAGGTCATGAGCCAGAGCAGCCAGAAGCAGTACTGAGAGTGTGAGGGAGAGAGATGGCCTTCCCAGCCCAGGAGCAAAGGAAGGTCAAAGGACCACAAGGCTGAAAATCTGAGGACGAGAGAGAAAGAGGTGCAGCCAGCATGGCTGGGAACAAAAGCACTTGTATCCTCAGCATTTTATAACCTATAAGCTTCCCGAGTAAACCATTATTGTGAGTATGTGGCCACTGCAGTGACTTACTGAACCCAGCAGAGAAGCAGAGTGGCGTGGAGGAGAGCTTGGTGTCAGAACAGCGTAAAGGAGGATGGAAAGATGGAGGCCCAGAGGCACGTCTGGCCATTGACCTTGGGCTGGTATGGAGTTGGATTCTCCTCCCGTGTACTGAAGCCAGAAGAGGTCAGACGTGGCTCCCACGCCAGCTCCTCCGTTGATAAATTCAAAAGTGTTCTCCTTTCATCTTTTTGAAATTACGTAGGCAGGCATGATATTTGAGGTAAACAAAATGAAAGTAGGCAATGTGATTTTTATTAGAGACTCCATTTCAACAGGCCCTACATGTACAATGTGAGACACTGTTTCCATTTAAGTCGCCTCACCACTCACCAGCCTATTCCAAATTCCCCCGCTACCCACAACATAAACTTTCCCTCTTACCTTTCTGGTTGCTGCTGTCAGTTTGAGCCCAGAGAGGTCATTACTTAAAAGCACACAGAGCTCAAGGCAGAAATTCTTTACCAATTAAGCTGAATTCTTGTTTGATTGAAAGGAAAAGTGGGTAATCTAAATGCTATAAGCAGGTATCTATTTCTAAAAATGACAGGAGGATGAGAAGAGCTGAAGTAGTGATTAATTTGCCATAGAAATAATTATATCAATTAAAAAACTAGAAGCATGATAAAAAATTACACTTTTTGTGCATTCTCTGACGTTTTGTGATCCACTTAACCAAGTTATTGTTCGGTTCTTTTGTTAATGTTCTCTAAGTGCCCATAAGATTATCAGAAAGGCAGAAGTGGGGAGGATCTCAAGTTAATTATAATATATTAAATAGTCATAAAAGCATAAAAATACATACCAATCCATACAGCATTTCGTACAGAACAGCCCCAAGGCACCACCAATCTACGGTATTATCGTAGGGCTGCTTTCTGATTACTTCAGGTGCAAGATACTAGAGAAAAGATTAAGTTATTAGAATATTTCAATCAATAGCTCAGTACAAATTTAGGAACAATTTAGGTTTAACAGATTTTTGGCTTTCCTGAAACACAGTAAGCCTACTCTATTTCCAGTGGGTTGGAGGGTGTTCTCGTTCTACCCCAGTGTTGGTTAGTCAACAGGGGTCCTCTTTCACAGATACTGTGATGCACTTAAGATAAACTGAGTATGGCAAATGTAGAACATAAGTGGATAAAATATGTGTTTCAGGGGGAAAGTCTCTGAAAAGATTGATTTTTAGAAGTTAAAATTTAGAATTAAAAATTAAATTTTAGAAGTTCCTTTGGTCATCACATTTATCACATTCTTTCCCTGCAGATTTCTTAATCTATCAACTACAATCCTTTTTGTTTACAGAGAAAGAAAAAATAAATTCATTCTTAATGGCAAATTTCATATCAATTTTCTAAATACATTATTTAGGAAAGCTGCATAAAGCTATACGATTGTTGTGGTTGCTAAATGCTGTCGAATCCGTTCCAATTCTTAGCAACTCCATGCACAACACACAAAGAAACACTGCCAGGCCCTGCACCATCCTCACCATCTTTCTGATGTCTGAGCCCATTACTGTAGCCACCATGTCAATCCATGTCATCGGTCTTCCTCCTTTTCACTGGCTTTCGATTGATACATGACCAAAGCAGGAGATATGAAGCCTTGCCATTCTCCTATCTAAGGCACCTTCTTGTGCTTCCTCTAATGTTGTCTTTCCAGATGTCTGTTCTTTTGGCGGTCTGTAGCAAATTCAGTATTCTTTGTCAAATACCATAATCCAAATGCACCAGTTCTTCAGTGGTCTTCATGTTCACTGTCAGGTTT